TCTATCTGTTTCTAATAGGTTAATATTGTTAAACAGGTTACAGTTCATTCTTTGCCATTCAGACTGCTTTATGTAACTTTATAATTTTCTGCGCTGGTTCATTATATTTTGCTTTTTATTTTAATATACAAGGAAAAATTTTAGTTTCCTATTTTTCAAGTTCTTGGGTAGGGAGTTGGTGGGGATGGGGACGGCTTCATGGTTGTCACCATATGCTTCTTACATGGCCAAGGCACAACATCATTCTGCCCACTTTCTAGGTGAGGAAACCGGACCCACAGTTGCGGCAGATGTAAGCTGTAAAGCAGACAGACAGTGCCAGTGCTCTTTCAAGTGCACCCTGGTTGAGAAACAGCAAACAGATCATGCTTTATGCGCCAAACGTGACTAGTTGGTGCATTCGTTTTCTATGGCGGCTTTAACAAATTACCACAAACTTAGCTGCTTAAAACAACACATTTATTATCTTATACTTTTTTAGTTCCAAAGTTCAAAATAGGTTTTACTTGGCCAAAATCAATGTGTCATGAGGGCTGCCTTCTTTTCTGGAAACTCTGGGGAAAATCATTTTCTTGTCTTTTCCAGCTTCTAGGGGCTGTCCACATTCCTTGGATTGTGGCCCCTTTCTCCAAAGCCAGCAGTGACAGGAAGAGTCTTTCTTATATCACATCACTCCCACACTGACATTCCTGCCTCTCTCTTCCACATTTAAGTTCTCGTGTGATTACATTGGGCCCACCCAGACAAGCCAGGGAAATTTCCTTATTTTTAAAGCTGGCTGACTAGAAACCTTAACTCCATCTTCTATCATATACTTAGCATACTCAAAGGTTTGGGGGATTAGAACATAGACATTTTGGTGGGGCCATTATTCTGCCTACCATAGCTAGAAATGGCTATGTTCAGAAGGATTCTGAGGCCATGTCTATGTTCATCAGGAAAGATGACCATGGCCAATTAGTAATGTTTAATATGGATTCAAAAGAAGGAAGTGCCATGTATTTCCATGCTTCCATAGATGCAGCCTAAAAGAAGGCGAGTGATAAGAGGGGTGACCAGCCAATCTGTGTGCTCCAGGCCTAGCTGGAAGGGCCCTTAGAAGGGAAGTGCTCCAAAGATCTGCCTTCTCTTTCTATAGCTGGAGCTACTACTGTCCTTCACTGCCAAGCTGAGCCCCCTCCTAGGCTCTAGGTATAGTCCTGTTCTTCATGGTCTTTCTCACTGGATCTCCCAAATGGCTACACAGTAGCAGGCCTGGTGCGAAGGGCTGGAGACACCAAGACAGGTACAGTACTTTCACGACAGGACACAGTGCTGCAGGATTCGTGCAGACCTGAGGAGCTTACCCTCTATGTGGGGAGACAGACAGGCAAAGACATGGCCATACAAGGTGAAATAATGCTATGTCCTGGGCCTCCCTTGTCATGTGCTTTCTACCTCCATCACTGTATTTAGATTGCCTAAGATGCTCCTCTCTTCCGCCACCCCCAATCCTACTCATTCTTCAAACACCACTTCCTCTTTGATTCTCCTCAGATGGAAGAAAATCCACTTCCTCATTGTTTTTTCCTTTTTTTTAATATATCTGAGGCTACCGATGCTCACACGCTCCACAAATACCCACTTACTGAAGACCTACTCTGTGCCATGCACTGCACCTGGCACTGGAGAGATACTGGGGATAAAACACATAGACATGACCCCCTGTTCATGGAATGACGGGCTAGTGGGTGAGGCAGATATGAGTTAAGGAAGCACACCATTAAATCTAAAAGGGCACTAGGATCAGCCCTACAGGGGAAAGGTACACGGTGTTCCAACAGCTATGAAGCTGCCTTGGGGAAGTGACAGTTGAGCTGAAATCAGAAGGCCGAGTAGAAATTAAAAGTGGAGAAGAAAGAGGAGAGAGTTCCAGGCAGAAGGCATAACAGGGCATAACGGCAGGGCAGGGAGAGAGCATATTTGAGATGCTCTGAAAGGAAGCCAGTGGCTGGAGAGAAGTGAATGGCGGGTGTGGGGCTAGAGGAGGTGGGAGAGGCAGGCATTGGAGAGGCAGGCATGAGAGCCAGAGCAGGCAGGCAAGCTCAGGGCTTTGTACTGCATCCCAGTAACTGTGCCCCCACCAGTTTGCCCGTACCCCCCTGTAAGCTCCCTTGTGTTTATGCTAGAGTGTCCCTTGCCTTTTTTAAGAATCCCAGTTCCCTCCACCAATCTTCTGTGCTTAGGATTATACAGAAAATTTTAGCTGTGGTGTCAAGTTACAGGCCAACTTAAATAGGAATAAAAATAAAGTGGTGCATTCCTGAGAATGAGGGAAATGGCCACTCCACCTGAACAAAGAGCAAGAGTTGAGATATATAACCAGCTTTCTGTTTCTCTACGGTATATCTAACCAAGGTGAACGCAGCGCCCCTTGTGTCAGTCAGCAAACCATCAGTCTGGAGTGTCCAAAAATGTGTGCACTAAACTCTACCAGATGTAGGTGCAAAACTTTGGAATTCCTTGGCAAGTTGGGGTGGCCATTATAATGGGGGATGCCTAGTGATTACAGAGTGGTGATATTTATATCCCCCAGAGCAGCTTGCATTAAATAGGTGCAATAGTTGTTTATCAATATTAAACTGAATTTTAGGACATTGAGAACCATTGTATAATCAACAACTGCATGCGTTTTCTGGGACTTTTGTCAATGAGGCAGTACAACATCGTGAAAAGAGCACTGGCTGAGATTCAGGAAGACAATATTCTCGTTCTCCCTCTGGCTGTGTTACGGAGGTCTTGGGCCTTGGACAATTCTTTCAAACTAGTATAAGCCCCCCCCCCCCATTCTAAAATATAATGAAGTCATGTACTTAAGTATTGTTAAAAGAAAGGCAAAAGCATGATCAAAACTACCTGAAAAATGCCTGAGGAAGGCACAATATTGGAGCCTGACACACTACAAACCATCTCTCACTAAGTCCAACGTTGCCAATTTCTCCCCCAGTGTTGGAAAGGATTGCTGTTGACTCAACTGAACACCAGATGAAGTAGTTGGCTTGCATTCAGGAGCCATGTTGTAACAAAAAATGTACCTTTTCTTTAAACACTGGAACTACATTCATGAGGTGAGATGCTTTCTGAGAAGCACATGGTCCTGAGGTAACAGTGCCAGGTGTACATCTCCCATTTGCCCAACTGCTGTTTCTGCACCTGCTAAGAGAAGAAAAGGATACCTCCTCATCTCTACCGACCTCGAAAGCAGTCTCTGAGGATAACTGTGGATGCACGTTACAGAAAACTTTAGAAAGCCCAACTCAGTGTAAGAAAACTTCCAAAATCACTTTGTCATGTCAACACTAAGTTTTATGTGGCCAACATACACAATAATGTAGTATCAGTACAAATGATAGAATTTCAGCACCACAAGTGTTCTTAGAAGGATCCAGTCCAATTCCCTACCCAAAGCTGAGTCCCATCTACCTCAAAGGCAAGAGCAGTGCTGAGACATGGAGCTCACTTTTCAACAAGGTGACCTATTCCGTGCTGCACTTCCATATTTTTCACTCAATGACTTGATATCTGCTTCTTCAGAACTTTCACTCACTGATTTTAGTAATGTCTTTCATGTGACAGCACTTCAGATATTTAAGGACAGCAATCACATCTCTTCTCACAGGACACGGGTACCAAAGCCCTCATTCACCATCACAGGCACATGCCTCCACATGTACAAAATAAACCAGTGTCCCCATTACAGTGTGGGCAGGAGACCTGGGCCTGCCTATATGTAAGTTTCCTCTAATAGAAAAACTCATTTCTGACTTGGAATAAAGGCTGCAAATCCAGAGTAAATTTACAAATAGGGCTACAGGTTGAAGATCTCTTTCTTAAATGAAAATTTCAGACATGCCCATTTTACTGATAAAGAACACGGACAGGGACCAGCCCTGTGCCCGAGGGGTTAAGTTCGTGCACTCCGCTTCAGCAGCCCAGGGTTTCACTAGTTTGGATCCTGGGCACAGACATGGCACTGCTCATCAAGCCATGCTGAGGTAGCATCCCACAGAGCACAGCCAGAGGACCTATAACTAGAATAAACAACTATGTACTGTGGGGCTTTGGGGAGAAGCAGCAGAAGAAAAAGAAGATTGGCGCCTGATGTTAGTTCAGGTACCCATCTTTAAAAAGGGAAAAGAAAAAAATTTCACCACCTTAATTCCACCAAAAGGAATCCAATTTCTAAAGTTCTCCATCATTTAAACAGTATTTGAAATGGTTCCAGGGCTTGTCTTTGGGATCCTGCATGGATGCCATTTCTGGAGTTCATTTTTCAAGGATTCATTTTCCAGACTGAGCAGAACTAAGATATTGGAATTTATTTGTTTTCTAATGCCCAGAGATAATCGAGAATGTCAAAGGTATTTCTCAAGAACATTATGACCCGGTGAACAAATTGACTTGAACATGAGTAAGCATAAGGGGAGACTGAGGTCACCTCCCTAATAGCTCTAACAGCTGCTGAACAAATGGGGTCCCCAAATTTTCCTAATTCCATGGTTCTTAAGAGACCAATGGCTGAGTAATTCTACCAGTGCTATACTTCCCTCTGCAATCCATCCTGATCACGCTCTGGGCCTTGCAACGACTAGGATATACAGCACAGATAGGTTGGGATACATACTGTGAAATCTGTTCATGCTTTTTGCCAAGAGTTGACAAGTTTAAAAATACAGTGCAGGAAAATTACTCATAGTTGTGGAGGAAGATAAGAGAAATGTGCCAAATGGGCTTTCAATGAGGACTTCTCAGTGTGAACATACGTAAAAAGAACTTTTAGATATAGGCATTATGATAAAAACAATCAAGTTAAGTTCTCAAGAAAGCTTATAAGTACAAGATCATGGTGATTATATGTACAAGAAACAGCCTGTTCATGAAGGACCATTTTGATCACTGTTAATGGACCAACATACTTGGCTCTCCAGAAACATTTCAACTAGACAAAACATACCAACACCTTAGTCAGAAATATAGCTTTATTATTATAATATTTCATAATCTAAAAACTTTTTTTTAATTCTGGGAACAGAATATTCCAACTTCCAACAACTGATTGACCCTGTAGAATACTGGAAAAGTGTCTAGGCAATCTGAACTCTGCAGTTAAGAATCTGTAAATTAGTCTGGGAAAAAAGAAAAATAGTTCAAATAAAGATTTCTTCCTTACAAAACAAATAAAATTAGATCCATTCCTCAGTTTAACCTTGAACACGTTTTCCCAGAAACTTTGGTCATTTCTTCAAAAAAGCAACTCTAAGGTTGACTGCCCATGTGGACAAAGAAAATATTTAAAAATAAGACCCAAGTGGGACATGGCACATGGCTCAAGTCATAGCATGTAAGTGGGATATCCTTCAGAGTGAGCCAGCTCCCGTGTTTCAGGAGGAAATTTACGGGAAGTACAACTTACATAATGCATTTCCTTGTATGAGGGTCAGAATTTAGTTGGAACTTAAAAATTGTTTTTTAATATAATAAATCTTAAAATTATTTGTCTTGTGTAATGTACATAGAGTAGATATGACATTGTGGTGCTTTCTGAAGATTACTGGGTACCACTGCCAAGGAGAGCTGTCATGCCTTCTAGGCATATTAAATGAAAATGGAAAACGTAGGTTACATTAAATAAAATGGAAAAAAAAATCTGGCTACACAAACAAGTTTAAAAACAAGTTGTCGTTATTGCATACATACATTACAGGACAAAGAACATGCAATACAACTAACCAGTCAATTTTTTAGTATGCAAAAGGCTAAAGTGCAATCATAGTATAAACATCAATAAGAAATAACCTGGGAGGAGGTTAATTCTCCAAATAAACAATAATTGTAACATTATAATTTTTACAATGTTAGCCTAAAAACATGATATTCACAGCAATGTTTTCTCCCACTTGACAGTTGCCTATATACCACATGAATGGCCCATCTCCATGAGCCAAAAGTCAAAGAGAAGATTCAAAAATCAACATTTTCACTATAAGAGGTTCAAAATGTTTATACAATGATTAAGTTACACTTTTCAATTTACTGGTATTTTAAGTAATTGCTTTATTACCTATTTTTAACGCACTGCTAATCTGATGCATATTGCAATAACAACCATAATTCTACTAATGTTAATTAGGTTACAGTTTTAATTTTTAAAAGAAGAGAATTTAATCTACATGAACATATATAGTTAAAAAATCATCCACCACAAACACATACCTTTTCCATGAGTATTTAAAAATAAATTAATATAGTTGACATACATATTTTGTATGTGTTATGTGTATGTATATATGTATCTATTTGTGGACATAATTATTCTTATTTCCAGAAGGATGTCAGCACTTTGTAAACTCTGCAGGAGACCTGATGATATTGCTAAATTAAAAAAGAAGGAACATGGAAATTCATTCTTGAAGAAAACTCGTAAAGCAGGAGGTTCTTAACAAAGGCCACTTTAGGGAGGAAGGGGAGGATGGTGTCAGATTCTGGATCCCACATGCAGTGTTTATTTCAGAAATTACTTTAGAAAGTGGTGTACAACGAACACTTCAGATACTTGGTTGAAAGGTCAGAAAGTATACTTTAGTCATGAAAGGGCACAGAAGCAGCAGGAGGTGGAAAAGCTAGGCCAGCAAGGAGAAAGTCATGCCTACAGCTACGAGGAGCAGGGAAGCAATCCGCTGGCATCCAACCATCCAGACCCTGCCCTGGTGACGGCGCTGATGGAAGGGCTGCACTGTTCTCCCCCAGCACAGCACAAGCAGCAGCTATTAAATAGAGGCCGGCAGCACGGTCTTAGGGTGCAGAGGACTCAGCCGAAGAAGAGAGCAGAGTGGACCAAAATCGGAATAAACATGCATCCAGGGAAACAAAAAGCCCAAAACAAACAAACAAACTGGAAAACAGTCCATTAAAATGAGAACTGAACTCTGACTGAATGAGTCCCTGAAGCAACCCAAACATTGAAATCTTGATTAACCAGAACACTCAAGGAAACAGGATTCCTTATTTTGGAGGCTTCCAAACTAATTGAGGGGAAGGTTAAAAACAAACACAAATATTTTTCTTCCACTGCTATTAACAGAACTTTACATTCCTATTCTTTGCCTTGCAATTCAGAGACCAGTGGGCACAGAGGAAAGTTTTTCCAACCTGACATGCTGTGTGGCCGTGGGTCTGAGAATGAAGGACCACGGCATAGAATCCTCGATGCAGCAAGTACTGGAGACTGGGCTCAGTACTGTAGAAGATGGAGCTTTGTTTTACTAAAACTTTGAGATACAACTGACTTCATCTTTTTACATTCTTTCTGTAATTTGCCTCTTGCTTCTAAAAAGGGGCTTGTAAAAAAATTCTGGTTCACCGAGATTCCTGTTTTTAAATTCTGGTTAATCCAGGTGCTTGTATGGACACGAAATAAATGTGTAGTACCCTTTGCTTTCCCAGAGTGTCCTACTATGGGATGTATCCAAAAGGACATTATTGTTGGTTCCTAGAACAACACCCCCAAAGCCCAGCAACAGTGGTCCAGAGCCACCCACCCTTTTAGATGATGTTCACAATTGCTGTTGGCTTTTTTTTAGCCATTTTGGGCCTGATGTTGCCCTTGCGGCTAAGCCCCAGCTCCCCTTTCTTCAGTGGTCTGCAGAGCTCTCTTGGGGACTCAGCCTGTTCGTGAACGGCCTTCGAAGGCTGCGTGCTGGCTCTGTCATCCTTGGCTTTTTTCAGGTAGCTCCTTCCCTTTGGATGAAAATGGGTCTTGAGATCAGGGTGGTTACACACAGAATGTGGGTGCCCTCGGCTGCTACAGATGGTCGGGTGAGAGGGAGATGAGCAGAAAGAAAGATTTCTTTAAATACTGAAAAGAATAAAAACTACCTATGGCACAATCACTCCTGCATGCTAGAGTGGTGATAATGCTGCCAGTAAAACAAATAATATATATTCGTATTTTTCTTCCAAAAATTCCTGTGGCCTTCACAAAGCAGTTTCATGATACTAAATTCCCAGAGAGATATTACTAGTCCTATTGACCTGTGATAAAAACAGGCATAGAAAACTTAAATGACTATCCAGGAAAAGATATACAGTTGGTCTACAGAGAAGAAGGGACCAGAACCCCTACCTCTTGACTCTTTAAGTAACTACTAAAGGACTCAAACAAATCTGTAGTATAGCTATTATAAAGCACATGATCCATAGTATAAATGTGTGTGTATATATATACATATATATATATAAAATGCAGTACACATACTACATTAATTGTACTATAGAGCTATTATGACTACACTATACCTCAACAAGAAAAAGTTAGGCTATATAATACTGTAGAAATACTGCTGTAGTACTACCATACTGCCATATACTAAGACTATTAGCACATCTGAAAGTCACATTCACATTTTAGAAAGTATACAAGCATTTTTACCTGAAACTCTCAAATCCATTGGTATTATAGATATCAACAAAATGCAACAGGAAAACATATTATGCAAACATTATCAAATGGCCCAAGTATAAAAAAGATATACATACAGGCATTTGGGTTTCCTATTTGAGGAGATATCTGTAAGCTGAAGGAAAACAAATAAGAAAAAACATTACTTCACTTGAAGGTCGAATTTGGTTTTTAAATCTTCCTTGCTTATATTTTTAAGAAACTGTATTCCCATTAAGGAAGCCAGTAACTGCTATCGCACCCCGCCCATGGAGCATCCATCACAGCAGTGACCAAGAACGTCTTGTGCTCAGCCTCTGCGGCTCCCTGTTCTGAGATTTCCCAGAAGCCAGTATCAGATCTCAAAAATTTCAACAAATCAGAGAGTCCCCCCAATAGAGCAACGTTTGAAAAAACATGTTTTTTAAAAACTGGAATGATGTGCCATTATTTCTTGATTGATTCAGGCTGTATTTGCAGCTAATTTACTACAGCTGTGGCTGGTCACAGTGTATCAACTAAGGGGAAAATTGGCATAAAATGTTTATTGCCTAAAATACAACATTTCTAAAATGAGAGCATATGAAGACCAACTCCATAACTGTCCCTGAGGTCATCTATCATTGAGATTATTTTTCACTCCTAATAAAATATCCGCATGCACTTTTGTGGCTGGGCTCAGAATATCATTTGCAGAATAAATTGATAATCACCATTCTGTGATCCAGATGTCACCAACCACTTTATAGACAAACCCAGTGTATTCCCAACCTTCAGTTCCTGACCTCCCTCATGCAGCCTTCACTAAAAGAAATGGTGTCACATCAGAAGGCAGACCAAAAGAGGAAGAGGATGACAAAGAAAATGTGGAGAAAGGGCCATCTGGCTGTCCGGGGCCCACTGTAGAGAAGACCCGTGTTCCCGTTATGCTCAAATAACCTAAGAAACCAAACTCCACCTTACAGGATCACCCCTCAGGTTCTTCAGTCAGCAGCCTGAGCTTTAGACAGGAGCAAATCAGAAAGAAAGTTTCTTAACTTTTGAGGGTCGTGTCCTCAAGAAGGCAAGATGGGATTCTTGCCTTCTGCCTTTTGACACAATCAGAAGTCAGCATTATTGTTGACCCTGTTCACACTGGCTGGGTTCCGCATGAGATTAGTAAACATGAACAGAAAAAGGCACTTTCCTTGCATGAAGGTTGTGAGGTTATGCAACATACAAAGGAGGTGGGACAGATGGCTCAGGCAAACACCAGGCTGGCAGCTTCTGAGAACCCCGAAGGCATCAGCATTTCCACCTTCTTACCCTCCTGCCCCACCAGCACCAACAGGAGCTTCTCAGCTGGGTTCCTTAATGGACTTCAGTGTATATATAAACTGCAAAAAATTTACAGGGTTTCTCTTCCTTTAAATTCTTCCTTCCTTTTTTTAATGACTCTTGAGGCATAACAAAATTTCTTCACTTTACTGTATGTATGTAAGCATAGAGTCTGATGAGTTCTTGCATATGTATACATAATACCCTTTGGAATTTTATGCAAAGTTAAGAGAAGGAGAGAGAAAGCGTGTGTGAGTGTGTGTGTGTGTACATGTGTGCACATGCTTCCTCTCCGGGGAAAAGGCCAACAGTGTTATCAAATGTTCAAAGGGGTCCCTGACTTCCAAAATGTTTTAAGAACTACAACCTTAGCGCCTATGAATGTCACTGACAGACCCTGCTGGGACCTCAGGAAATGGGAATAATTGACTATGTCTTACAGAAAGGGAAATGCATTAATAAACATGGGTAAAGATGAGCCATAAATCTCACACACACACATATATACAGGTACCATAAATTGCACGTGTCTATATGTCACTCACCAGGAAAAATACTGAGCATATAACAAACACAACAAACCCTCAAAACAACCCCATGAGGGAAGCATTATCATCCTCAGTTTACAGATATGGAAACTAACGTAGAAAAGTTAAGTGGCTGGTTCGAAGCCTCAACGTTTCACCAGTGTTAGGGCTGGGCTTCAAACCCAAGTTAGCACATTCCAAGTCCCAGCAAGCCTTCACTCTGCACTGCCTCTCTACAAAGTATGGGTTTGTGTACATAAGAATAAGAGCAAGGAGGTGTGTACACAAAAAGTCTAGTGGAATCCACGGCTAGATCAGAATTTCTTTAGTGATCCTATAGATTAAGAAGCTTGGGGAGGAGGTGGGGCTCGTTATCAGTCCCCATAGAATTTCATATGCTCTCCTCCCCGTGAACACAAGAGGCCACTGTTCCTCCTGGTCCCTACAGCCTCAGGTGGATGGAAACACTCTTCCCACTTCACCTATCTAACTATCTCCATTTTCTCCTAGTCCAACTATTTCGTCTTCTTTTTGCTTAGGGAAAGGAGAGTCTGAAGATGGGGATCAACAGAGTCCCTGATCAAGGTTCCAGGTTGGAAAAATATACATATTCACTGAGAGCCAACTGCAGTGAAAGCCAATCTGAGTACTTCTAAAATGCAAACACAGCATCTCAGGTTATTATAGGCTTGGGCAAACTGGACACCCAGCCCTCCGCCAACTTCCCCTTTGTGGGAATAGCAGCACCATACACTCAATTGTTCAGGCCAAAACCTTAGAGTCATCCTTGATTCCTCTCTTTCCTTCACCTGCTAAATCTAATCCTTCAGCAAGGCTGACTGGTCTTGTCAATTCTACTCCCAGAACATATCCTATATACCCATCACTTCTCTCTACCTCCACTCTATCCAAGCTGCCATCCCCTCTCACCTCCACACCATAATAGCATTCTAGCTCGTCTCTCATTCTTTCACCCCTCCAGTCAGTTCCCCACAAAGCACACAGAGTGACTCTGCTAAAACACAGATCACCTCCTGCTTAAAATCTGCCAGTGGCTTCCCTGTGGGCTCTGGAATAGATCCAAACTCCTTAGGTGACCTAGGAGCCTCGGCAGGATCTGGATCCTTCCCAACTCTCTGATTTCATCTCCTACCACTCAAATGTGCCAAGCTTGTTCCCTAAGGCACCTGCATTTCCTATTCCTTTCTCTAGAACATCCTACTTCCAAATTTTCACAGAGCTGCCTCCCTCTTGTTATTCAGGCCACAATGCAAATGTTGTCTCCTCAGCAAGGCTTTTCACTAAAGCTACCGTGGACATCTCAAACACACCATCTTACTTTTTTCTTTATAGTAGTTATCATTATACAAAATTATCTTCATTACGTGTTTACTTGTCTACTGTGTCCCCTCCTGAGAGCAGGGATCCCATCTATCTTGTTTACAGCAGTTCCCTCAGCACCCAGTGAGTGCTGCGTCCCCAAAAAATATGTGTTAAATGAATTATTGCTAGTCCTAATTTAGCAACTGCAGGAAATAAACACAACACTTAAAATAAGATTATCCACGCTGTTTTGTGACCTTCCACTTGAGCAGTTCCCTGAGTGATTCTGGCAGATGGGATATTAGGTCACTTTGTGTCTAATTCGACAGCATTTTTCAGAGCATAAAGACAAAACATCTGAGTAAGCATATTACATTTTTAGAAACCAGCCAGGTGGAAAAGAACATAAATGCTCAAGGGGATCAAGGGAAAGATACAGATGCCGAAACATAATTTCAGAAAAGGCAATAAATGTGAGGGGGAAGAAAATTTTTCTAGAGCACAAAAGAATCTTAAAGCAAGAAGACACCCTAGAAAGAAGCAACTTACATATCAACCTAGGATTTCACTGCTATCTGGAGGCAGCAATGAGAAAAAGAGGGAAGAGGAGAAAGGGAGGCGTCTGGGGGTGGGTAGAGGAAGGGAGATGAAGAGGACTGACACTGTTTTTGTAGTGCAGCCTTAGACGAGATGGTGAGAACCAGGCTGCGGATGGTATTTCTGACTCTTTTGGAAAAAGGAGCTGAGGCGTGGGGGGAGGAAATCAGAATGTTCTGCTCCATCCTGGTGGGCACTGTGGCAAGGAGCTCTTCGGGGTGGGGCTGAGGCTCCAGCAGCCGGGCGTCTTGGTGCTCTATGCCTTCACCGAGCTGGGCCAAATAGGTTAATAGATATGACTCAAAGTTTTTCCTGCTAAAAGCATCCAAGTTCTTCTGTGTATCCAGAGCCACAGATACCCTGGGAGGCCAGACTCAACACTTTCATTACATCAAGGACATGGCTCCTAACTTCACAGGCGAATGGACAGTATTCCAATGAAATAGACTATGTAAATAGGAGAAATGGTCTTAAGGTCTGTAGACCATCTCATAATGTGGTACATGATGGTCCAAAGCAGAGCTTAGAGGATTTTACATGAAAACAAGGAAAATTACCTCTGCTAAATGCTTTCAGAAATGAAACATCTCATTCTTGGTCTTCTTAGAGTAATGCATCCTCCCTCCAATGGTCAGCCAGTTGACCCCACTACAGCCTGATTACACCCTACTCACAGTCAGCTCTCACTTCTAATTCCCCGCTACAATCTTAACTGTACTTTATTTTCTTTGAATTAGTCAACTCTTCCCCAGGTAGGTCAAGTCTGAAGAAGGTAGATGATACCAAGCTTGGGACTCAGAGGGCATAAACATAAATATTTATTAATTTCCTACCCTATTTGTATGTATGTATACATACGTATTTATGTGTGCATGGACATCTATGTTATGTGTGCATGCACACATACATATAATCCTATAAGTACACATTTGGCTAGAAGAGCTGAGATGCTGTTCAACTTCTGATCACATGGTACAGCATGATGAGAAATAATGACTGACTACATCTTTTCAAAGGTGTTCAATTTTCAAGATGGAAAAATAAACTGAGCACAGGAAGTAAGCGCAGAAATACAAATAAAAGAACTAATGGGCTTCTTTTCTTCCTTCTTGCCTTCCACTGTTTTCTCTTTAAGATTCCTCTTAGGTTAGTAGTAAAATTTCCCACATTTTTAGTTCTAGGTTACTACTTATAAGCCTAAATATTGAAATATTAATGTTATATTTTAATTTCAGAATTCCTAACCACCAAAGTCAGGTGATGATCAGAGAATTTAAGCAGCCAAAAGACCTCAGAGAGCATCTAGTCCAGCTGCTTCATTTTATAGAAGAATTACAGACACAAGAAGACAAACTGTCTTGCCCAGTCAGAAGCAGGGTGGGAATGATCTGGAAGCCAGGTCTTTTCACCTCACATCTGGGCTCCATGACCTCATACCACACAACCCTCTCCTGAGAGAGGGCAAGATGGAGAAGAAGGCAGGAAAGGGCTCAGAGTGTCCCTCTAGGCACAGTTAGTATGACTGGACTCTCAGTTGCCCAAGGAGGTGACTGAGGAATCAAGGAGGGGAGTAACGGTTCTCTCTCAGGACGTCCACCCAGAAAATATGTCATGTAGCTGAAACTGCTTTGATTACAGTTACCAAAACCTCACAGATGTAACAAACTTACTTCCTTCCAGTCTACTTTTGTTCCTGAATGGAAAGTTCTGGAGCTTGCATTACTGTTCTAAGGCTGAGTCTGCAGTATTACAGGAAGCACTGTCTAAGATTTCTTCATTTCTTTCCCTCCTCCCTCTTTCTTCCCTGTTGTCTCTCTCCATCCCTGCCGTGTCTTCCTTCTTTTATCCACCTGTCTTTCATTTCACTCCTTCTTTTATTACTTAATCATGTTTCCTTTTAATCTTGGTTTCCAGAATGCTCAAACTAAACTTGTTTTAACCAACCAACAGCAACCTTGCTAAACTTTTCATTAGCATAAATGTTTCCTATTTTTCTTTTCCTCATATATATAGTCCATTTGGGGGAAGTAAAAGAATCATTTTTAAACCTTCTGGGAAGGAAGTAAGCATAAATAAAGTTCAACAGATAATGAAGATGTTATAAATAAACCACTTCGGGGTTTCAACAATCCTTTCTTTGGCTTTGTAGTTTTTACCACCAAAAAAATTGTCTAGAGGGCAAATACGACCACCCACCTCCCTCACCTACAGTGTGGTTATTTGTACTCCTCCCTCCACCCTCCAAAGAGACCAGGGAATCTTGATCAAGCCACTTATGAGAATCTCCACAGTTCTCATCTGGACTCTGGGGTGTTCTTAAGCCCCTGAAACTGTATGTAAAATTGTATGCAGAAATCTATTCCATAATTTAACTATCACCTGTGAATTTTTCTTTTTGAAAATATACTTAAAGAATGTTTAACCTATAAAGATTATTGAGTAGTGTTTTCCTTTCTATTAAGGGAAAAAAAGATTACGTGGTTTAATCTTGCTTTACTGAGAAGGCCAAAGCTTTCATAAGATTCTCTTGAAGAGCTCCAAAACTCGATAATATTTTCCAATCTACTTGAACACCAAGGTTGGGACAGACGATTTCTTTGGATACACCAAATTCTGTGATTCTACAACATAAAACTATTTCTACCAATTCAGCTTGGCGTGGAGTTGGAGGGTGAAGAAACGGAGTCCATGTGCCAGGATCTCCTCGCTGACTTCCAGGTGTCTTGGATTTACTGGTATCACTTCCATAACACAGGCATGGCTGTGCTACGACATCCTGAGAGTCCCCGCAAGTCCCTCCCCAGCTCCCTTTTCCTCTGCCCTTGACCCAATCTCACCACACCCAAGGACCTCACACTTGGAGGCTGGACCTGTGCAACTTACCACATGCTCACTGACGTCTCGGCCGAGGCCAGCGGCCTGCTGGCTTTGATAGTATTCTAACTGCTTTTCCGCCAGTTCTACCCGTTGTAAGAGATTCTCGATAAAGTCCTGGAGCCGAGCTTTCCCTTGAACCTCCTTCTCAGCTGCTGCTTCGAGGAAATGGTTGAATGTAACAACTTCTCTGCAAGGAAAAATGTCAGAACACAAAATGGAGAAATAAGACAGGAATTCATTCATTCAACACATATTTACTGATTGCCTACTGTGTCAGATACTTCCCTAGGCAGTATGGCCACAACAATGATAAAAGAGAGAAAACTCCAGTTAAGTGATCACATTTAGAGATTACCTTTTAGTAGAAGGAGAGAGTCATTATAAAATATACAAATAAATATGTATGTCAGGCAATGGTAACTGCTAAGGAGAAAACTGAAACTGGGTACAGGGGAACAGAGAGTGAGGGAGGAATGGAAGGAGAGAGCCATATTTTAGCAAGCAAAGTCAGGGACGACCTATCGGACAGGGCAACATTTGAACAGACAACCTGAAGGAGGTGAGGAATAAGCCATGCAGACACCTGAGAGGAGCAAGCAGGGCCCTCGGTGGGACCGTGCAGGTGGCTCTGAGGTACAGAAAGGAGGGCTGCGTGGCCGGAGCAGAGTGGGGAATGGGGAGGGCAGTGGGAGCAGTGAGCCAGGTAGGGCCTCAGAGGTCACTGTGAGATTCCAGATTTTATTACAAATGATGCGGGAAACCATTGGACACTGTGAGAAAAGTTCTGACTTACATTTTAAGAGTCTGGATGTTGGGGGAGAAAAGACTACAGGGAGGGAAGGTATGGAAGCAGGAGGCCATGCTGAACACCAAAGTGCATAAAATGAGTCACAGTGTCCAATAGTATATTTTGATCAAAGACCAATAGTATGTTTTGAGCAAACAGCCCAAGAAACACCATCCTGAGGGAAGTCCAAGGTCCATTGGGAAAGCTATTTTAGCTGACATAAGAGAAACAGCGTGCAGGTTGCCCTTCCCTAAAAGTTGAGCAAAATACCTCAAACCATCCTCCTGATAATTCTACATGATTCATCGTGACTCACAAATCCTGAAAATTTTTCATAACTTCATTGCTATTTTATATCTTTTTATTTCTAATGCAAATATGAAAATAACACTTTCCTGATTTATAACTAAATAAGGTCTTTATTAAAAAATTCAGACACATTAAAAATATAAGGAAGAAAATATCACCTACAATTCCAATATCCTGAGACCACCACCATTAATATTTTGGTAGCCATCCTCAGGAGCATCTCTACAAACACACCCACACCCACACACACACACACACACACACACACAGGTGCTTCACCTTTTCCTCAAGCCAAGTACCAGGGAATCAGCACTACTATTAGGTGTATATTATCACAATTCTCTTCATCTGATTTGCCTCACTTACTAAGAAATCATGAAGATCCTTTGAGCCATCCCCTTTGGATGTTCTGCCACCCTCACTGGGGCTAATGAATTCCATAATTTCACTACCTGTTGGATATAGTATTTCTTTTATGTTTCTTCAAAATCTCTCGCAACCTTCAGGGAGTGGCCCCTCTTTTTTCCACCATGTTCAACTTATGCAGAACCAGGATTCTGAAGACCGACCATTGTTCCCCCAGCCTCTTTCATTTTAGATAAGGGAATCCTTTTTTTCTTAATCTAACTTCATGCAGTTCTACACAGTCAATTAAATTTACTGCCTTCTCTGCATCCCTCAACCTCCACTTGATTTTTATTTTCCATTAAGCTCCATAATTTCTTGAGAGCAGAACTTCAGGGAAGTTCCGCCCAGGAGGTCACAGTTTCGCAGAAGGTCTTGCGAAATAGCTGATAGTAGCTTCCAGCTCCTCCAGTCTCTACGGCGAGTCAGCGTGCCACTTCTACAATTAGTCGTGATTTTTCTCTCTCAAATACATTATGGCACACTTGGTCATACTGAAACTTTGCTGACGCTTCCTATAGAGTCTCTGCAAAACCTTTGGAATTATACATTTACAAAAACAGAAAAAAGTCTCCGGCCCCATGGCCCAGCGGTTAAGTTTAGCACACTCCGTTTTGGTGGCCCGGGTTTGGATCCCGGATGCAGACCTACAGCCCTCGGCAGCAGCCACACTATGGTAGCGACCCACATACAAAATAGAGGAAGATCAGTACAGATGTTAGCTCAGGGCAAATCTTCCTTGAGCAAAAAGAGGAAAAATGGCAATAGATGTTAGCTCAGGGTGAATCTTCCTCAGCAGAAAATAAAAAAAAAAAAAATAGAAAAGAGACTGGTTCTAAAAAAGGATTCACTCAAAGAATTGCTCATTATACCAACCCCCTTTTTTCTAGTTTCCTATCCAAGATCAAACATAAACCCCAATCCTGTAATAATTCCATTATCTTTCAGCAGCTAATAAATATTCACATAAGAGAAGTAAGAGTCCCTTTGGAAAGGAGTTTTCTTTCATCAGCAAGTTTCAAGTTTATTTCCAGATGTTTACGTATGAGCCCCGAATAGAAGATGTGCACTTGCCAAGCTGTTCAGGCCATGGACACAAGCCAATTTTCAAACTCTACCATCATTCAGCTTTGATCTGCCTCCCAGGTGAGTCACAAACCTTAACTAGCAGCAAAATAGTGCAAGGTCCGTCCGGGTGCTACATTTAGCCCTTTCAAGGTTCCTACTTATGGCTGAGATCCTTCAGATGGAGTATCTTCACAGCTCAAAAGCACCATCAGAAACACAGCCCAGGAAAATGGCTGCTGCTTCCTCTTTCTAACATTAAGGCTTCAATTCATTCAGCATCAAGCCCATTACAGAGACTTCCTGGGTGATACTTACGGTAACTGAATCATGAAATAGTCTCCAAATTGTACTTAAGGGAAAACAACCAAAAACCCAAAACGCTCATTCCCATCAAACACAAAAACATAGAAAAAAGAGTCTAGTGTTACTTGTTTTTCAATTCAATTTGGTTTATAATAGTTACTATATTGAATTTATTAAAGACCTATTTCACATTTATTATGGAAAATATGAAAATTGACCTACTGCAGGATCTAACTGGGCAAAGGCTGATGAGTTGTTTGTTCTCTGCTCTAAGCCCATCACTCAATACACGACACATAATAAATATTAAATAAATATTGGTTGTAATTAATGTTTGAACAGGACAAGGAAGAAACAAAAAGTGAACCATAATCCTACCACCCAGAGGTAATTACTGTCAACATCCTGGTATATTTTTTCCACTCTTTTTTAATCTGTGCATATTTAGAATTCTGGGGCTTTTGGGCTGTACAGTTTAGAATATAAAAGAGCAATATTTGACATCTTAATCCCACAGGATTAACATCTCAAAAGCAAGAAAACAAATCTGAATGCCGTTTCTGATTGTGGCTGTATTGTTTTTTGGGTTTTTTTTTAAAGATTGGCACCTGAGCTAACAACTGTTGCCAATTATTTTTTTCTCTTCCTGCTTTTTCTACCCAAATCTCCCCAGTACATAGCTGTACATTTTAGTTGTGGGTCCTTCTAGTTGTGGGACATGGGATGCCACCTCACCGTGGCCTGATGAGCTGTGCCATGTCTGCCCCCAGGATCCAAACCGGCGAAATGCTGGACCGCTGAAGCAGAGGGCGCAAACTTAACCCTCAGCCATGGGGCCGGCGCCATGTGGCTGTATTCTTAAATTATGTAATGTTTTGCTACCGGTTCCACATAAAACTTTTACAAATTAACATGAATGCTCCTCACCAACCATGGAGTGTTATGTCATGCTACAGAAGCATCTTTTTCTAACCTCCTCCTCATTCAATTATTTTGTGCCTGAAGCTGAGAACTTAATTCCTTTGTATTTTTCAACCAACCTGGCACCAATGCTCACCTAATTTCAGTTTATGGATGTTTCACATCAACTAAAAAACAAGACATTAAAAACAAGGCTGATATTTTAATTTTAAATTAGAAGTTACACAAGACAAGGGCTGGAGAAATTCATCACACTGAGATTGTGTTTGGGTATCTGTATTAGATAAAAACAGTAACAAAAACCAGAGACTAATTGTGGAATATCATGTGTACAACTCCAGATTCCCCTTTCACATCCTGTTCAGTCTGGATTAACAATATCCAGGAAGACATATTATTTCCCCAAGGATTCTTGGGAATTTCCCGAATGGAAAAGAAAGAGGACTAACCACGTTGCATTTGTAATCTCTTTAATAATTGTACTCCAAAGAGTAAAATATCCATAAAAAGTGCAAGACAGACCAATGGATTTCAATGTAAGAGAGAACAAAATATTCACTGATATAATTTCAGATTCCACGTTGCCATTAACTTTTAGGAAACTACCAATTGTCAAGTTTTGGCATAGCATCAAAGCAGAATATCTATTATTCTCTGGAAAGGCTATTAAAATACCCCTCCATTCTCCTACTACATATCTGTGTGAGACTGGATTTCCCTCATCTACTTCAACCAAAACAATAAATTTGCAACCGATTAAATGCAGAAGAACTAACAAGGTCCAGTTGCATTCTATTAAGCCAGACATTAAAAATATTTGCAAAACTTACACAATGATGCCACTCCTGTCGCTAAATTGTTTCTGGGGAAACAAGTTATTTATATGTTAAAACATGTTATTTATGTTAACAAGTAACGGATTTCTTATCGCTATTTTTAAATGAATTAATAAGTGTTTTTTAAATTTCTAAGTTTTAATTTCTAATATAGTCATGTGCTGCATAAAGACGTTTCGGTCAACAACGGACCACATATACAATGGTGGTCCCACGAGTACCAGACAGCCTAGGTGTGCAGCAGGCTCTACCATCTAGGTTTGCGAAGCACACTCTATGACGTCCACACAAACATGAAATCACCTAACAACGCATTTCTCAGAACATGTCCCCCTTGTTAAGTGACCCATGACTGTAAATATCAACTGGTATAAACCCACACAAACAAAAGCTTTTTGGGTTCTTCAGATTTTTTTAGAACTGTAAGGGGAAGGGAGGCCAAAAAGTTTGAGAACTGTAGCCATACTGTGTACCAGAGTGATCCTGAACCTCAGAACTCTGCGGAGGGTGGACAACGTGGCCTGGAACAGTAAGATACAGCCAGGATCCAAATGTCTA